TTATCAACAGTGAAATACCCTGCAACATTAAATAAAAAATATCACATTATTATTACTCAATATATTGCACAATGACAATGAGGATGAGGACAGTAGACAGCAACAACATAATTCAATACCGCACAAACTAAAAAAGTTTTAGGTGGGTATTCAATCCTCCATAACAAATTATAAATAATAATAATAATAACAACAATAATAAATCTAATGATAACCTGATAAGTTCTTAATCTAATTTAAAAATTAACTTTATCATTGTTGAGCTTCAATACACTCATCACAAATCCTAGATTACTAGATTACAATATTGTTAGTGATTCCAACCAGGTACTCATACATGTAGTGACGAATGCAGTGGCGAAGATGAAAATAACAATAACAGCAATAATAATCATAATAGAACATCTAAAGAATTACACTTGTAACTAATTTTACAGTTAAAATTCCATTTGAAGCTACCTGATATATATTTTTAGAAAACGATCATAGGCCTACCTGCATAACTTTTAGTTGTTGTGTTGAGTTGACTAACCAAACTTAATTTTCTCCCTGTAATAGAATGGTATGGTCCATGACTTTATTGTACAGTATTACACATGACATACATTACAATGTTACAAATTTTATATTTAGGGACACTATCAATCAACAAGTTAAACAAGATCAGTTAACCTGCAAAGTAGAAATGTCAAGTAAAGGTGCTATGCTGACTGCATTCTGGCTGCTATAAACTCTTAAATCTCTTAGCTAAGAATCGTTCCGTATTGTATTGTAACTTTATGGCAGAATGTAGAAAATTTAAATTCACTGAGGATGATGCCCTTACTATTTTTTACAGAACTGTTTCAATAAAATCCATGTATGCCTAAATTTGTTGTTATGTTAATATTAATATGAATAATACACTACTTAATAAAACATTTGTACCAAATAAACTAAATTACTGTAATTAAATTGTACTGTATACTGTTAGCCTACTTACCTTCATCAACATTACCAGACTCAATATATGGTGTCAAAATTAAAGGCTTGCCTGGATCTAAATGTGGCCTAGGCTTCAAACTGACTTTGGGATGATTCTGGTAGAGTAGCCGCCAACCGTATGTACTAATCATGTTATTCATTAATACCATCATGAAAATCAACTGTGCCTGTACAAAATGAACAGAAGAATGAATAAAAAGAACAGCCTAAGTTACAACAGGCATTGTAACAAAATGAGTATTTTGGTATCATAACATAAATGAGTGTTACTAATACACATAGGGGTAGGTTGGGATGGGAGGGGAGAGACGCACAACCCTCCCCCTCCCCATGGTGGCAAATTAGTTCCTCTGAGTGGATTATAATACTCAAAAGACCATTAAGTTTTCATTGGAATATGTGGATTTTGGAGGTTCGGGCAAACACCTTTCTTGACCAGTTTACTACTGTAGTCATATATTAGAGAGCAGCTTAGCTCAGTCGACTAATCTGGTGGTAGCCACTGTGTGTGTGCTGAACCATGGAGATACTGTATCTGTAACCTTGCACCCTGTGCGTTACTATTTTCGGTTCTGGTAGAGGTAGAAATGAATCAAACGCGTAAACAACGTAGAATTAACATAAATGGTACATGCTTTATTCTTGCACGGTGTACATTCACTGTGTCATATGATGTCACAATGTCACGATATCACGTGTTGATGCGCTACGCCTACGCCTACGTCTACGTCTATGATTACGACTACGTTTACGTCTACGACTACGGTTTAAAATCAGTTTCTTCTCCAGAACCTGTTGCATTGAATCCATGAAC